TATGCTAACCAATTCTGAAATTCCCGATCTAAAAAGAAACTGTACGACACAACCACTGACTATATATTACAAGCCAAGAGTTAACATTTCTCAACCAGGATTAATACAGCCAGAAAGACAAGCTTTATTCATTTGTAAAACTAACGCTAATCCCACAGTTACTAGTTATACATGGACGACTAATCCCACACTCGACGATACTGAATACGACATTGACGATACTGGACAAGTATTCATGTTATTAAAGCCCACAATTCATCACGATGGAATAGCGATTACATGTGAAACTGAAAATCAAGTTGGTAGATCGTCAAGCAATGTAACAATACTTATAAAATCTGATCCACAGAATGATGTCACAAACGATAATTGGGAAAAAGATTCAACAAATATTGGCCATCATAAAAATGATAAATCGTCACGTGATGATGACAATATTGAAGATAAATCGTCATCAGGATTATCTATTGACATCATTGTGATTATTATTGTTGGCAGTGTAGTTTTATTGGTAATAATCGTCATGATCCCAGTTTATTATTATTGTTTATGTTCACGGAATCTTTCATCACACCAGACGACAACAATAGTTCATCAACCTGAAGTATACTTTGAGCCTCAAGATCGAATGACGTTGCCTTTACCTCACACTAGAGACACAGCCATCTGGAGGAGATCGTTTGCAGCTCAAGCACCAGACGATAAGGAGGTAGACGCTATGTATTTGGAAATACAAAGTAACCATTACATATATGCTACCACAAGTAGATCTAATACAATCAGATAAAATGTAATAGTTCGTTTATTATTATTATTATTATTATAATTATTATTATTATTATTATTATTATTATTATTATTATTATTTTTATCATTATTATTATTAATATTATTATTATTATTATTATTATTTTTATCATTATTATTATTATTAAAATTATTATTATTATTATTATCAATATTAGTATTATTATCATCATCAGTATTAATAATATTTAGCATTTGTTTTATAGTTATTAATTTATTGCGAGATTGAACTAAACTAACAATCATTTATAAAACGCGTAACTTAAATCATTTTTAGACTGGACACTCTTCCTATGAAAAACAGTTTATATACAATTATTGCCATTGATTATAGAGCACTGGTAGCTCCTATTAACGACTATATTGTTACAAGAGAAAGAATAGCGCAATGAATTGTTAAATATAGGCTTATGCTTTGTAATATTTTGTTAATTATATATAATCATTAGACATGATGAAAGCAGTTTTAGTAATTATTGGATTGTGTCTATTGCATATGGCAAACGGTTTATTGTTTGACTACCATCCATATAACTCAACTATCATCGCAAAAGGGACGGTATCGTTATTTTGTATTATAAAGACTGAGAAAAACACTGAATATCAATACCAAATGAAATGGAAGAAAGACGGACAGTATATTGCCACTGAGAATAATATTAGGAAGGATTTAGAAGATGTAAATCACTTTGTCGTTACTGTAAGCAGAGTGAACACAAGAATAACATATAACTTAGTGTTCAACAGTGTTTGGAACAATGACCGTGGATTCTATCAATGTGATGTCTTTGAAAAAGGCATTCGTGTTTTGGAATCAAATATAGCATTTCTTGATGTGATACAAATACCTGATGATACATACCCATTATGTTCGGTATCTAAAGATGTGTACAGAGAAGGTGAGGCCGCCATGCTCTCTTGTGTCTCTGAGTACACAGAACCGCCAGTGACGTTACGATGGACTGATGGCGATACACATGTTGTTCAAATCGAAGAGAAAAGAGCAAGATTGCATAAGATATTGATTGCAACCCCTGATTTAAACGGATATAAATCTGTATGTATGCTAACCAATTCCCACATTCCTGATCTCAAAAGAAACTGTACGACACACCCTCTGACAATATATTACAAGCCAATAGTTAACATTTCTCAGCCAGGATTAATACAGCCTGAAAGACAAGCTTTATTCATTTGTAAAACTAACGCTAATCCAGCAGTTACTAGTTATACATGGACAACTAATCCCACACTCGACGATACTGAATACGACATTGATGATACTGGACAAGTATTCATGTTTTTAAAGCCCACAATTCACCACGATGGAATAGTGGTCATGTGTGAAGCTGAAAATCAAGTTGGCAGCTCGTCAAGTAATGTAACAATATTTATAAAAACTGATCCACAGAATGGTGTCAAAAAAGATAATCGGAATAAAGATTCAACAAATATTGGCAATCATAAAAATGATAAATCGTCACGTGATAATGACAATATTGAAGATGAATCGTCATCAGGATTATCTATTGACATCATTGTGATTATTATTGTTGGCAGTGTAGTTTTATTGGTAATAATTGTTATGATTCCAGTTTATTACTATTGTTTATGTTCACGAAATCTCTCATCAAACCAGACGACAATAGTTCATCAACCTGAAGTATATTTTGAGCCTCGAGATCGAATGACGTTGCCTTTACATCACACCAGAGATACAGCCATCTGGAGAAGATCGTTTGCAGCTCAAGCACCAGATGATAAGGAGGTAGATGCTATGTATTTGGAAATACAAAGTAACCATTACATATATGCTACTACTAGTAGATGCAATACAATTAGGTAAGAAGGAACAAGGATTATGGTTACGTATTATCTATGCTGTTATTGAAATTACAGCCTCGATCCTGTACCTCTCGAACCACCACAAATGCAGTCATTTGGAAAATATCACTTACTTCACAAAGAACAGAGAAAAGGAAGTAGACATTGAAAATAAAATCGACTGTTACATAAATGCCACCGCAACCAAACATATTCCAAATATAGAAAATGTAATTTTTGTTGAATGCCAATTTTTCCATCTAGTTATATGTAATTATTTTCAAAACTACTATTAGACTAACTGTGCGCCTGACAAAAGGTGTTGTTTCCAAACGTGAAACATTATTATTTTTTCTACTGGACATTTTGCAACGATGCATACACACCGATTCCTATATTTTCTATTCGAGTTATGGGATTGTAAGAAGGGAGTAAAGCATATCTTACAAGCACTTAGATTTATGGAATACCGCAAGTATCAAAGATTCAAATAGTTGTATATTTAGTTATGTATGTGTAAATATTCAAGATGCAACTGTTTTCTATTGTAAGCCTACTAACTATTATGAAATTTACAAACTGCCTAGTATTTGTTGCTCATCCGTTGAACACGACAGTAGAAGCAAAAGGAACAGTGTCACTTACTTGTATTGTAGAATATGAAATAGTTGACGCAAATCGATATGAAATGAAGTGGAAAAAAGACGGGGAATTTATAGCAACAGACGATAAAATAAAGAAAAACATAGAGGACCAAGATCATTTTTTCGTCACTATAATCAAAGGAAGTAAACAAATAGTATACAGTCTAGTGTTCATTAACATTTGGAACAGTGATCGTGGGTTCTACCAGTGTGACGTTTTAAATTACAGTGTTCGGGTTTTGGTGTCAAATAAAGCATTTTTAAATGTAATACAAATTCCTGATGATAAATATCCATTATGTTCTGTATCTAAAGATATCTATACGGAAGATGATGACGTCATGCTATTTTGCGTCTCTGAGTACACAGAGCCCCCAGTGACATTACGGTGGACTGGTGGCGCTACACATGTTGTTCAGATTATCGATGGACAAACTGCAAGATTACAAAAGAGATTGATTGCAAGCCATGTTTTAAACGGATATAAAGCCGTATGTTTGCTAACCAATTCACAAATTCCTACTCTCAAAAGAAACTGTACAACACAACCCCTGACAATACATTACAAGCCACGAGTTACAATCTCTCCGACCGGTTTGATACCGCCTGACAGACAAGCTTTATTCATTTGTGAAACTACAGCTAATCCCGTGGTGAGTCGTTATACATGGACAACCTTTCCGACAATCGAAAATAGTGAATACAGCATTGATAATACTGGACAAGTATTCATATTACTCAATCCCACAATTAAACACAATGGAATACTGATAACGTGTACAGCTAAAAATAGGGTTGGTAGCACCTCGACCAATATTACAATTACTATAATACCAACCAATAAACACGCTGGTGGTGAAGACGACAACCAGGATGAGTACACAAATGCTATAGTTGACCATAATAAAAAGGATAAATCGATACGTGATGATAACAGCTCTGATGACGGAACGTCAGCGGGATTATCTACTGACGTCATAGTTATAATTATTGTTGCCAGTGTAGTTGCATTGGTAATAATTGTCATGGTTCCAGTATATTATTATTGTTTATGTTCACGGAATCTTTCATCAAACCAGACGACAACTATAGTACATCAACCTGAAGTATACTTTGAGCCTCGAGATCGAATGACATTGCCTTTACCTCACACTAGAGATACAAAAATATGGAGAAGATCGTTTGCAGCTCAAGCACCAGATGATAAGGAGGTAGATGCTATGTATTTGGAAATACAAAGTAACCATTACATATACGCTACCACAAGTAGATGTAATACAATCAGATAAAAAAAAAAAAAAATTTTTTTTTAGTATTTTCTGAACTTATTATTTTAAATATTTTCTCAATAGCTTCAAAATTTAAAAAATTGAAAATATAATTGTTGCTCTAACAGATACTGATCATATGTTCTCATAAAGAACAAAAAAAAAAAACTACGGTTACCACAATTTCTTACGACCTTCAATATTTGCATATATCTACCAAGCTATACAACTATCAGGAATTAAAATCGCCATATTCATTTTTAAAGCCTATATCTTGAAAACGCGTACCATAACAAATATTTTTATTGGACATTGAAGATATATGATGTGACATCTAAACAATCTGTTTCCTCTGATATTGCGACAATGTTAAATATATTATAGAACACCAATAGGCCTTAAAAATAGAAGACAAATTGACAAGGAAACACTGAAGCGTAAAGCATACAAAATTATCTACTATTATAAGGGAAAACAAAATGTTACAATCAGCTATCATTGTTTTCGGACTATTTTTAAATCATCAAGTTAATTGCATATCGTTTATTGTACATCCAGAAAACTCAACCGTCGACTCACTGGGAACAGTTTCACTGACTTGCATTGTACAATTTGAAAAAGCGTCACCTAAAAAATACAACATGAAATGGAAGAAAGACGGAGATTATATATCTACAGATGAAAATGTAAAAGCCGTCTTGAAAGATGCAAGACATTTTATTGTGACTATTAAAAAAGGTAACGTGAGAATAATATACAATTTAGTGTTCAATAGTGTTTGGAACAGAGATCGTGGGTTTTATCAATGTGATGTTTTTGAAAATACCGAAATAGTTATTAAATCAAACAAAGCTTTCTTGGATGTAATACAAATTCCCGATGATAAATACCCATTGTGTTCATTATCTAAAGAAGTTTATAAAGAGGGTGATGACGTCATGTTATTTTGTGTCTCTGAGTACACAGAGCCTCCAGTGACATTACGATGGACTGATGGCGCTACACATGTAGTTCAAATCGAAGGGGAAACAGCGAGGTTACAAAAGAGATTGATTGCAAATCCTGATTTAAATGAATATAAAGCCATGTGCTTGTTAACAAATTCACAAATTTCTGATCTCAAAAGAAACTGTACAACACAACCTCTGACAATTTATTACAAGCCAAGAATTACCATCTCTCCTACAGGTTTGATACCGCCTGGGAGACAAGCTTTATTCATTTGTAAAACTGACGCTAATCCAGCCGTTACTCATTATACATGGACAACTGCTCCGACACTCAACGATGATACTGAATACAACATTGATGATACTGGACAAGTGTTCATGTTATTAAAGCCTACAATTAACCACGATGGAATAGTGATCACGTGTGAAGCTAAAAATCAAGTTGGTAGCTCGTCAAATAATGTAACAATATTTATACAAACTGAGCCTCAGAATGACGTTACAAGCGATAATGGGGATAAAGATTCAAAAAATATTGGCAATGAAAAAAATGATGAACCGCCACTTGATAATAACAATATTGAAGATAAATCATCATCAGGACTATCCATTGACGTTATTGTCATTATTATTGTTGGCAGTGTAGTTTTATTGGTAATAATTGTCATGATTCCAGTGTATTATTATTGTTTATGTTCAAGAAATTCCTCATCAAACCAGACGACAACTATAGTACATCAACCTGAAGTGTACTTTGAGCCTGGAGACCGAATGACGTTGCCTTTACCTCACGCTAGAGATGTTGCGATCTGGAGAAGATCGTTTGGTGCTCAAGCACCAGATGATAAGGAAGTAGATGCCATGTATTTAGAAATACAAAGTAACCATTACATATATGCTACCAAAAGTAAATGTAATACAATCAGATAAAAATTATACAAACTCCAGTGCTTTCACATAATATTTTAAGATTTGTTTATTGACTGAAACTATAACATGGTAAACTACAAACCAAGATACAGATAACATTCATCACATCTCTACTAAAATAACATAGAGCAATTATCATCTATTATTTTGTAATACAGTATAATGTCGCAGACTTTACACCATCAACAATATTTTATGATTTCGGAAAACGTGTAACCTAACCACTAGTTTCACCAGCCAATTACTATAATGACTGGCTTTTACAAGACAAGTTCCTATTACTGTTGCGGGAGTGGTGGAATTATAAGTGAATAGTAGTCCTATACAAGGTGCTTGAGAATATAGCAACTTATATGTGAAGGCGTGAATTAATTGACTCGGACATATCTGTACGGTACATAATGTGTATCTTTAGCAATCAGGTAAAAAATACCAGGATGCTACAGTCAGTAATTATTATTTTGGGAATTTTTTTTATTGTCCAAGTACACTGTTTAGTGTTTATTGCACATCCTGAAAACGCAACTGTCGAGGTAAAAGGAACGGTTTCACTTACTTGCATTGTAGATTATAAAGCGAACGCTAATATTCCATATACAATAAAATGGAAGGAAGATGAAGACTACATAGCAATAGACGGCAATGTGAGAGAAGACTTAAAAGATCCAGACCACTTTATTGTTACAGTTGGCAAAAGTAGGACACGAATTACATACAATCTTGTGTTTACCAGTATTTGGAACAATGACCGTGGATTCTACAATTGTGACGTATTTAAAAACAAGAATCTTGTTTTAAAATCAAATAAAGCTTTTCTGGATGTAATACAAATTCCAGATGAAAGATATCCATTATGTTCAATATCTAAGGATTTCTACATGGAAAGTGATGACGTCATGCTCTACTGCGTTTCTGAGTACACAGAACCTCCAGTAACATTACGTTGGACTGATGGCGATACACATGTTGTTCAATTCGAAGAACAAACTGCGAGATTACAAAAGAGATTGACTGCAAAACCTGATTTAAACGGATATAAATCAGTATGTTTGCTAACAAATTCACAAATTCCTGCTCTCAAAAGAAACTGCACAACACAACCGCTAAAAATTTATTACAAGCCAAGAATTAGTATCTCTCCAACAGGTTCAATACCACTTAAAAGACAAGCTTTATTCATTTGTAAACCTAACGCTAATCCAGCTGTTACTCGTTATACATGGACAACTCATCCAACAATCGACGATACTGAATACACCATTGATGATACTGGACAAGTATTCATGTTATTAAAACCCACAATTAACCACGATGGAATAGTGGTCACGTGTGAAGCTGAAAATCAAGTTGGCAGCTCGTCAAGTAACATTACACTGATTATACAACGTGACCCACAGAATGAATTTACAGTTGATAATGGGGATAAATATTCCAAAAATATTAACAATCATGAACATGACAAATCGTTACTTGATGACAATTTTGATGATAAAACGTCATCAGAATTATCTACTGACGTCATCGTCATTATTATTGTTGCCAGTATAGTTGTATTGGTAATTATCGTCATGATTCCTGTTTATTATTATTGTTTATGCTCCAGAAATATGTCATCAGACCAGACGACAACAATAGTACATCAACCTGAAGTATACTTTGAGCCTCGAGATCGAATGACGTTGCCTTTACCTCACACCAGAGATACAGCCATCTGGAGAAGATCGTTTGCAGCTCAAGCACCAGATGATAAGGAGGTAGATGCAATGTATTTGGAAATACAAAGTAACCATTACATATACGCTACGACAAGTAGAAATAATACCATCAGATAAAATCATAAAACTCCAGTCGTTGGCCTAGTATTTTCTATTCACTGAAACTATGTATACATGGTTAACAATAACCACATAAGATAAAGTTCGTCACACATCTACCAAAATAACTTTGACAAATTATCATCTATTATTATTATTTTATGTTTTCGGAAAACGTGTAACATAACCACCAGTTTCACGAGCCAGTTACTATAATGACGGCATCTACAAGACATGTTTGTTTTACATTTGCGGGAGTGGTTGATTTATATAAGAACAGTCACCCTATACAAGGAGATAAGCTCTAGAAAATAGTAAACCAATACGAGAAGGCTTAAAATATTTGGATCAAACAGGCAGTAAATTCTGCTGTGTATATCTTATATATTTACCAATCAAGTATAAAATAGCAAGATGTTACAGACGGTAATCATTATTGTTGTAATGTTGCTTATTCGGCAAATATATTGTATTGCATTTATTGCACATCCTGTAAATTCAATTGTCGATGTAAACGGAGCAGTTTCACTTACTTGCATTGTTGAATATGAAAAACTCGCTAAGATTCAATATGTGTTGAAATGGAGAAAAAATGAAGACTATATAGCAATAGACGGCAATGTGAGACATGACTTTATAAAACCAAGCCATTTTATTGTTACTATAAACAAAGGAAATACAAGGATAGTATACACGTTAATGTTTACCACTATTCAAAACAATGACCGTGGATTCTACAGTTGTTGCGTATTTAAAAACAAGAATCTTGTTTTGGAATCTAATAAATCTTTTCTGGATGTAATACAAATTCCTGATGATAAATATCCATTATGTTCAATATCTAAAGATATCTACACAGAAGGCGATGACGTCATGCTCTACTGCGTCTCTGAGTACACAGAGCCGCCAGTGACTTTACGATGGACTGATGGCGATACACATGTTGTTCAAATCGATGAAAAAACAGCGAGGTTACAAAAAAGATTGATAGCAAACCCTGATTTAAACGGATATAAATCAGTTTGTTTGCTAACAAATTCACAAATTTCGACTTTAAAAAGAAACTGCACGACACAACCTCTGACTATATATTACAAGCCAAAAGTTACTATCTCTCAATCAGGTTTAATACCGCCTGGAAGACAAGCTTTATTTATTTGTAAATCTAACGCTAATCCGGCAGTTACTCGTTATACATGGAGAACTCATCCAACAATCGACGATACTGAATACACCATTGATGATACTGGACAAGTATTCATGTTATTAAAACCCACAATTAACCACGATGGAATAGTGATCATGTGTGAAGCTGGAAATCAAGTTGGTAGCTCGTCAAGTAATGTTACATTAATTATACAAACTTTTACGCAAAATAACGTTATAAGTGATGATCGAAATAATGATTTTAAAAATACTGACAATCAAAAAAGTGATAAATCGTCACGTGATGATGATATTATTGACGATAAATCGTCATCAGGACTATCCATTGACGTCATTGTCATTATTATTGTTGGCAGCGTAGTGTTCTTTGTAATAATGGCAATGATTCCAGTTTATTATTACTGTTTATGTTTAAAAAATAACTCATCACACCAGACAACTATAGTACATCAACCTGAAGTGTACTTTGAGCCTCGAGATCGAACAACGTTGCCTTTACCTCACACAAGAGATGTAGCAATTTGGAGAAGATCGTTTGCTGCACAAGCACCAGATGATAAGGAGGTAGATGCCATGTATTTGGAAATACAAAGTAACCATTACATATATGCTAACACAAGTAGATGTAATACAATTAGATAGTGTATTTTAGTACAGCTTATGAAGATGTAGAGTACATGAACATTATTACCATCGTGTATTTTGAAATGTTGTATTTCCTAAAAACGCGAAACACAATTATGTTTTTAATGGGCTATCACTAAACTGTCCAAGGTAGTGCTTAAACCTATTTTCATTTCTGTTGTCTTGAGTCAATATATATATTGCAAATGGTTTGGAGAACGTTTCAATATTTATAACTATCTGACAATCAGTTATTTATAGTATATAATTCCTCAACAAATGTATTCAGATACGACTCGTGAGAAACGTCAAGATGTTGCTGTTTAATTTTGTTGCTTTAAACTTTTATTTCGTTCACATTTCAAGTGGTTTATTTTTTGATGACCATCCATTGAACTCGACAGCTAAAGCAAGAGGAACAATGTCGCTAACGTGTATTGTAGAATTCGAAGCAAAGGATGCCAATCAATATAATATAAAATGGATGAAAGATGGAGAATATATAGCTTTGGATAGAGATGTAAGGAATGACTTAAAAGATCCAAGTCACTTTATTGTTACTATAGGCAGAAGTAGTATGCGATTAAAATACAACCTTGTGTTTACCAGTATTTGGAACAATGACCGTGGATTCTACAATTGTGCCGTATTTAAAAGCAGCAATCTTGTTTTGGAATCTAATAAAGCTTTTCTAGATGTAATACAAATTCCAGATAGTAGATATCCATTTTGTTCAATTTCTGAGGATCTCTACACAGAAGGTGATGACGTCATGCTATACTGCGTTTCTGAGTACACAGAACCTCCAGTGACATTACGTTGGACTGATGGAGCTACACATGTTGTTCAAATCGAAGAAAAAATGGCAAGATTACAAAAGAGATTGATTGCAAACCCTGAATTAAACGGATACAAAGCTGTATGTTTGCTAACCAATTCACAAATTCCTAGTCTCAAACGAAACTGCACTACACAACCTCTGACAATTTATTACAAGCCAAGAGTTACTATCTCTCAAATGGGTTTGATACCACCAGAAAGACAAGCTTTATTTGTTTGTAAAGCTAACGCAAATCCAGCCGTTACCCGTTATACATGGTCAACTCATCCAACACTGGACGAATCTGGATACAATATTGATGATACTGGACAAATATTCATGTTGTTATATCCCACAATTCAAAATGATGGAACAGTGATCACATGTGCAGCTGAAAATCAAGTTGGTAGCTCCTCAAGTAATGTTACACTGATTATACAAACTGTTCAACAGAATGACGTTACAATTGTTAATCGTGATTCAACAAATATTGACAATCAAAAACATGATAAATCGTCACGTGATGATGACATTATTGAAGATAAATCGTCATCAGGACTATCTATTGACATCATTGTCATTATTATTGTTGCCAGCGTAGTGTTATTTGTAATAATTGTCATGATTCCAGTATATTATTATTGTTTATGTTCAAGTATTAGCTCATCAAACCAAACAACAACTATAGTACATCAACCTGAAGTATACTTTGAGCCTCGAGATCGAATGACGCTGCCTTTACCTCACACAAGAGAGGTACAAATCTGGAGGAGATCGTTTGCTGTACAGGCACCAGATGATAAGGAGGTAGATGCAATGTATTTAGAAATACAAAGTAACCATTACATATATGCTAACACAAGTAGATGTAATACGATAAGATAGTATATTATTATAGTTCATGAAGATGTAGATTACATGAATATTACTAATTATTTGAAAAGTTGTGTTTCCTAAAAACGCAGAACACAACAATGTTTTTTAATGGACTCTTACTAAACTGTCCAATGTACTGACTAACGTATTTTCATTTCTGTTCTTGTGAGTCAACATGTATATTAGGAATGACATCGAACACGTTTCAGGATTTTGAACTATTTGGTAATCAATTATTTATATAATTCCTCAACAAAAGTATGTATTTTCAGACACAATTTGTGGGACACTTCAAAATTTTACTGTTTGCTTCTGTTGCTTTAAATCTATATTTAGTTCGCATTTCAAATGGTCTAGTTTTTGATGACCATCCGCTGAACTCGACAGTGGAGGCAAAAGGAGCAGTGTCACTAACTTGTATTGTAGAATTCGACAAAAAGGATGCGAATCAATACAATATGAAATGGAAAAAAGACGGCGAATATATAGCCTCGGACAGAGATGTAAAGATTGATTTAAAAGATCAAAGTCACTTTATTGTTACTATAAACAAAGGAAATACAAGAATAGTATACACGTTAATGTTTACTACTATTCAAAACAACGACCGTGGATTCTACATTTGTGACGTATTTAAAAACAACAATCGTATTTTGGAATCTAATAAAGCTTTCCTGGATGTAATACAAATTCCTGATGAGAGATACCCATTATGTTCAATATCAAATGATATCTACACCGAAGGTGATGACGTAATGCTCTACTGCATTTCTGAGTATACAGAACCTCCATTGACCTTACGATGGACTGATGGCGATACACATGTTGTTCAAATCGAAGGACAAACTGCAAGACTACAAAAAAGGATGATTGCAAATTCTCATTTAAATAGATATCAAGCTGTATGTTTGCTAACAAATTCACAAATTCCATCTCTCCAAAGAAACTGTACAACACAGCCCCTGACTATATATTATAAGCCAAGAATTAACATCTCTCAACCGGGTTTAATACCGACTGGAAGACAGGCTATATTTATTTGTAAAACTACAGCTAATCCTACTGTTACTAGTTATAAATGGACAACTATTCCGACACTCGACAACACTCAATACAATATTGATGAAACTGGGCAAGTATTTATGCTACTTAATCCAACATATAATCACAATGGAATAATGATTACATGTGAAGCTAAAAATAAGATTGGAAGCTCGTCATTTAATTTTACAATAACTATACAAGCTTTTGAAAATGATAAAACTGAGAATAAAGATTCAAACAAAATTGATAGTCGCAAAAATGATAAATCATCACGTGATTATGGCAATTTTAATGATGATGCTTCTTCAGGATTATCTACGGACATTATCGTAATTATAATTGTTGCCTGTGTAGTGTTTGTGGTGATAATGGCAATGATTCCAGTTTATTATTATTGTTTATGCTCAAGAAATTCCTCATCAAACCAGACAACTATAGCACATCAACCTGAAGTGTACTTTGAGCCTCGAGATCGAATGACGTTGCCTTTACCTCACACCAGAGATACAGCCATCTGGAGAAGATCGTTTGGTGCTCAAGCACCAGATGATAAGGAGGTAGATGCCATGTATTTGGAAATACAAAGTAACCATTACATATATGCAACGGCAAGTAGATGTAATACAATCAGATAATTTTTTGTATGGTTCACATTTAAAAACATCTCCCTCAATAAACTGTATAAAGTAATGCCGTTTTGTGGAAACGAGTATTATGAATTTGTTTTTAGATGGACACACATTTTTATAAAAATAATCACTAGTATCTTCAAGTTTCTATTGCAATTGCGGTTTATCCAGTTGTCTGCAACTGGAATAAGCTTCTTACAAGACGAAAGTCATAATAGTATAAATTGGTACGTGTGATATTTTTTATACTTTTTGTCAACGAGATCGACATGATGATAATTGCTGTGGTTGTTATTAAACTGTGTTTAATGCATATTACTAATTGTTTACTGTTCGACTACCATCCCGAAAATTCAACAATAGATGCAAAGGATACTCATTCTTTAATTTGTATCTTAAAAGTTGATCGCGGCTCTGAATACCAATACGAAATGAAGTGGAAAAAAGACGATGAGTATATAGCTTCTGAAAGAAATAATAGAAAAGACTTAAAAGATCCCAGTCACTTTGTTGTTACTTTGAGCAGAAACAGTATAAGCATTACCTACAATTTAATGTTTACCAGTGTTAGGAACAGTGACCGAGGATTCTACAAATGTGATGTATTTAAAAAATGGCAATCGTGTCTTAGAATCAAACAAAGCATTTCTGGATGTAATACAAGTTCCAGAAGATAAATACCCTTTATGTTCTGTATCCAAAGATGTTTACACTGAAGGTGATGACGTCATGTTCTACTCCGTCTCTGAGTATACAGAACCACCAGTGACATTACGGTGGACTGATGGTGATACACATGTTGTTCAAATTGATGGACAAACAGCGAGACTACAAAAAAGATTGATAGCAAATCCTAAAATAAATTCATATCAAGCTGTATGTATGCTAAAAAATTCACAAATTCCTGATCTCAAAAGGAACTGTACAACACAACCCCTGACAATATACTACAAGCCAATAATTAACATCACTCAACCAGGTTTAATACCGACTGGAAGACAAGCTATATTTATTTGTAAAACTACAGCTAATCCTCATGTTACTAGTTATAAATGGACAACTGTTCCGACCCTCGACAACACTGAATACCGTATTGATGAAACTGGGCAAATATTTATGTTACTTAATCCTACATATAATCACGATGGAATAATGATTACATGTAAAGCTGAAAATCGGGTTGGAAGTTCATCATTAAATTTTACAATAACTATACAAAACTTCGAAAATGATAAAATTAAGGAGAAAGATTCAAATATTTTTAAAGATCGCAAAAATGATGAATCATCACGTGATTATGAAAATGTTGTTGAAACATTCCAGGATTATCTACTGACGTTATTGTAATTATAATTGTTGCCGCGTAGTGTTTGCAGTAATACTAGTAATGATTCCAATTTATTATTATTGTTTATGCTCAATAAATTCCTCATCAAACCAGACGACAACAGTACATCAACCTGAAGTGTACTTTGAGCCTCGAGATCGAATGACGTTGCCTTTACCTCACACCAGAGATACAGCCATCTGGAGAAGATCGTTTGGTGTTCAAGCACCAGATGATAAGGAAGTAGATGCCATGTATTTGGAAATACAGAGTAACCATTACTATGCAACGGCAAGTAGATGTAATACCATAAGATAATCGCTTCTATGATTCCTTTACACAAATCTCCCACAGTATACTGTACAAAGTAATGCTGTTTTGTGGAAACGCGTATCATGAATTTGTTTTTAGGTGGACACAAATTGTTATAAACCTAATCACTACTATCACCATGTTTTTATATTGCCAACTGCAGTTATCTAGTGATCTCTAACTGGAATGAGCTTCTCTTAAAAGAAGAAAATCATAATGCTATTAATTGTTACGTGTTATATTTGATATTTCTATACTTTGTCAACAGTAACTACATGATGATAACTGTGGTGGTCGTTATAGAAATGTATTTGATACATATTACTAATGCTTTAGTGTTCGTCTACCAACCCAGAAATTCAACAACAGATGCAAAGGACACTCATTCATTAACTTGTATTATAGACGTAGATCGCGGCTCTGAACAACAATATGAAATGAAATGGGGAAAAGACGATGAATATATTGCTGCTGAGAAGAGTATTAGAGATGACTTAAAAGATCCAAGTCACTTTGTTGCTACCATAAGCAGAAGCAGTATGAGCATTACATACAATTTAATGTTCACCAGTGTTTGGAACAGTGACAGAGGATTCTACAAATGTGATGTATTTAAAAATGGCGATCGTGTCTTAGAGTCAAACAAAGCATTTTTAGATGTAATACAAGTTCCAGACGATAAATACCCATTATGTTCTGTATCCAAAGATGTTTACACTGAAGGTGATGACGTCATGTTCTACTGCGTCTCTGAGTATACAGAACCACCAGTGACATTACGGTGGACTGATGGTGATACACATGTTGTTCAAATTGATGGACAAACAGCAAGACTACAAAAAAGATTGATAGCAAATCCTGATATAAATTCATATCAAGCTGTATGTTTGCTGACAAATTCACAAATACCTGCTCTCAAAAGAAACTGTACAACGCAACCTCTGACAATATATTACAAGCCAAGAATTAACATATCTCAATCAGGTTTAATACCGACTGGAAGACAAGCTATATTTATTTGTAAAACTACAGCTAATCCTGCCGTTACTAGTTATAAATGGACAACTATTCCGACACTCGACAACACTCAGTACAACACTGATGAAACCGGGCAAGTATTTATGTTATTCAATCCGACATATAATCACGATGGAATAATGGTTACGTGTAAAGCTGAAAATCAGGTTGGAAGCTCTTCATTTAATTTTACAATAACTATACACAATTGTGAAAATGATAACATTACCGAGAAAGATTCAAATAATATTGAGGATCGCAAAAATGATAAATCATCACGTGATTATGACAATTTTGATGAAAAAACATCTCCGGGATTATCTACTGACATTATTGTGATTATAATTGTTGCCTGTGTAGTCATTTTGGTAATAATAGTAATGATTCCTGTATATTATTACTGTTTATGTTCAAGAAATTTCTCATCAAACCAGACGACGACAGCTATAGTACATCAACCTGAAGTGTACTTTGAGCCTAGAGATCGAATGACGTTGCCTTTACCTCACACCAGAGATGTAGCCATCTGGAGACGATCGTTTGGTGTTCAAGCACCAGATGATAAGGAGGTAGATGCCATGTATTTGGAAATACAAAGTAACCATTACATATATGCAACGGCAAGTAGATGTAATACCATCCGATAATTTTTTTATGTTTTATATTTGAAAAATCTTCAACAATAAACTGTGTACAGTAAATAATAAAACTCTATTTTGTGGAGACGCGAATCATGATTTTGTTTTTAGGTGGACACACATTTTTATAAAACTAATCACTAGTATCACCATGTTTGTATTGCAATTGCAGTTATCTAGTGGCCTCTATCTGGAATGAGCTTCTCCTACAAGAAGACAATCATAATGGTATGATTTGGTACCTGTCATATTTCTTGTTGATATACTTTTATCAACTAGAACTCCATGATGAAAATTGTGGTGGTCGTTATTGAACTTTATTTCATGCATATTACTAATTGTTTAGAGTTTGTCTACCAACCCAAAAATTCAACTACAGATGCAAAGGACACTGATTCTTTAATTTGTATTTTAAAGGTTGATCGCGCCTCTGAATACCAATATGAAATGAAATGGAAAAAAGACAGTGAGTATATAGCCACTGAAAAGAATATTAGAGATGACTTAAATGATCCGAGTCACTTTGTTGTTACTATAAGCAGAAGCAGTATGAGCATTACATACAATTTAATATTCACCAGTGTTTGGAACAGTGACCGAGGTTTCTACAAATGTGAAGTATTTAAAAATGGCGATCGTGTCTTAGAGTCAAACAAAGCATTTCTGGATGTAATACAAGTTCCAGACGAGAGATATCCATTATGTTCTGTATCCAAAGATGTCTACACAGAAGGTGAAGACGTCATGCTTTACTGCGTCTCTGAGCATACAGAACCTCCAGTAACATTGCGGTGGACTGATGGCGATACACATGTTGTTCAAATTCATGGACAAACTGCAAGACTACAAAAAAGATTGATTGCAAATCCCGATATAAATTCATATCAAGCTGTATGTATGCTAACAAATTCGCAAATTCCTGCTCTCAAAAGGAACTGTACATCACAACCTCTCACAATATATTATAAGCCAAGAGTTGACATCCCTCAACCAGATTTAATACCGACTGAAAGACAAGCTATATTTATTTGTAAAACTACAGCTAATCCTGTCGTTACTAGTTATATATGGACAACTGTTCCAACACTCGAAAACACTCAATACAATATTGATGAAACTGGACAAGTATTTATGTTGCTCAATCCAACCTATAATCACGATGGAATAATGATTATATGTGAAGCTACAAATCAGATTGGAACCTCGTCATATAATGTCACATTAACTATAGAAACTTTTAAACATGATAACATTAAGGATACAGATTCACACATTATTGAGGATCGCAAAAATGATAAATCATCACGTGATTATGACAATTTTGATGATGAAGCTTCTTCAGGATTATCTACTGACGTTATTGTAATTATAATTGTTGCCGGTGTAGTGTTTGTGGTAATAGTGTTAATGATTCCAGTTTATTATTACTGTTTATGTTCAAGAAATTCCTCATCAAACCAGACGACAACTATAGTACATCAACCTGAAGTATATTTTGAGCCTCGGGATCGAATGACGTTGCCTTTACCGCACACCAGAGATGTAGCCATCTGGAGGAGATCATTTGGTGTTCAAGCACCAGACGATAAGGAGGTAGATGCCATGTATTTGGAAATACAAAGTAACCATTACATATATGCTAACAACAGTAGATGTAATACAATTAGATAAATATTTACACCACAAATTAATAACTCGTTTAAAATAATTATTTAATAATGTCATTGCTTCTATTTCCGCAACGTTAACTGGATGGTATTGTTTTGATAACTAAATAGGTTAGATTTATTCTGTAATTTCATGTTTTATAAGAAAATATATTGTTGCCATGATGTATGATAGTATTCTATTATATTAATAGTTCTTTTATTAAGTGATAACATTAAGTAGTTCTTTAATGTAGACATAGAGTTATTTAAGAATGAATATATTTAAAGTTATTGTTTGACGTATTTATATGTAGATATTGCTCCTTTGAGAGGTCACGTGGTATATTATTGTAACAATTTAGATATATGTATATTATATATATTCAATTCATGTAGCATTGATAATTTAGATGATGTAGATTCACGTGTATATATATATATATATATATATATATATGTATGTATATG